TTAACCGTTAGCCGTAAAAGCCATCACCCCATTGAGACCTTCGAGGTAAAGGTCGAGGAATGGACTGCAAGAAAAAGAAGTGGGTGGAGTTCATGAAATTGTGATCCTTTTTTCTTATACTGAAACAAGCTAAAACGTTAGTTGTTTGTATTTTTTTTAGTTGGACAATTAAAGAGTAGTATTTTTTTTTAAGGTGGGTCAGATTTAACGGTAGGTTATGATGTTGCGTGGAATCAGTCACTGGCGAATTTTGCGTCCATATAAGTGTTGAGTGCATTATATACTTTTGCAGCTAGCATAGATTGATAAATTTTCAGATGAGCTCTAGAAACTCTGTACTTACGACCCCTGTGTTGATGAGTGGTAAAACTTGGAGATGCAATGGAATGCAGTATACATTATGTTGAAATTTATGACTTGCTATATTGTGGTTCTTAGGGTCAACGACATTGAAGCGTTAAATTTCCTTCGTAACTCCCGGACTCCAAGAACTACCGCCTACACAGACATTGTTGAAGAATGTTGTAAAGAAGGATGCGCGGTGGAAGAAATTCATGAATATTGTTGGTAAAAATCAGCAAAACGTTAACGTTCTGAGTGGAAACATTTAGCTCACTAGAGGGTTACAGTATCTTTGATTACATGACCAACCTATGTCCACTGTTAAAATCGATTTCTGTCATTCCATTTTGCCAAATTCTACATTTCTGCTTGCATCTGATAATTTGGGTTCAGCTACGAACTGTGTACTTAAACACGAGAGAAAACAATGGCCTTCCATAAGACCATCAATTCAGTACTGATCTGTATTAAAGCTAATAAATATAGACATAGAAAAAGTACAGTTCACGCATTTATTTCATCACAGGTAAAACGCGTCCCATCTAAAACGTATGTAGACTGATGAAGATATTACAAAATGCTTTTATTTGGAACAAAAGAGGAAACAAAGTTGTTTCATTAGGTTTACGTTCAGCGATATAATAGAGATTTATCGAACAAGCACGAACAGAAAACAAAGACTGGGAAGTTCGAGGGATGAGTTATGGAAATTGTGGCCGACAAAATGTGGGTTCAAACGCAGGTTACCTTAATTGTCGAACGTTCGTGTAGATCAGTTTCAGTTCATGTAAAGTTTCATATCTTTTATAATATAAATATATATATATATATATATATATATATGTCCTGATGAAAACTAAAGGGTAGTTTGTTGTTGTCAGTGTTTTTTCAGCTTGACCGTTGAAATCCAGAATAAAGATAACTTATCGCTGACAGCTCATATATGTCAGCTATCAGTTTCGAACGCAAATGCCTTTGTGACTAGATTTGGATATTAGCCACTATAGCTGAACATTCGCCATGTTCTTCTTCTTGCGTTTTACTAATCAAGAAAAAGTCGAGACCCATAAAACTGAACGCAAAAATGATGATAATAAAAAACAGACCATTATCCAGCCATGTCTGTTCACCTCATGCTCGGTCAATAAAGCCGGAATAGACTTGAGAATTAACAAATAAACTCTGGAAGCTCCTCGTGCCTTTCTTTGTTTTGACTACTGAATTCAAGACGTATTTGTCACTCAATTGCTGCCAAAATCACTGGAAACATTCTTCCCTCTGACATAGAAGTTGGGAAGAATTTGGAGTTTGGACCATCAGTTTTGTGGGAAAAAAACGGGCAGGCCCAAGCAGGAAAGATGGGCCCATATTGCCAATCACAACAAAGGATTTGCTTCACCTTGCTCCCTTGTGGAACCCGCTGACAATGATTAACATATTAATTAATATATACAGTTAGCTTACTGAATACAATCAGCATTAGCTGAGCTGTGTCTAACTGGAATACAAACACTCAGCCCTAGCAGCCACTAATTTATTACAGCACGGCGCAAAGTCAATGAGATCTAGCTGAACATAAAAATCAACATACATGTACCGATTTATTTCGTTACAAACATTAAGCTTTCGTGAAACCAACAGCCAGTATCAGTCTAACGCAGTGTAGTGGCATTCATATCCAGTCAGATCTCTGAACACCGCCCTTCCGCTTGTCAACAATACGCTTTCAGTAAGTGATGTGCACTGATATATTCCTTTTTGTTTTCCGCCAACTTTCTCCGAACGCTTAGACAAACTCAGACCTGCCTAATTGATTTAAGACGCTGAATTGCATCACCCGACAAACTCTCAAATGTTTATTTTCATTAACATTTCCGGCTTGCAGTCATAAGAAACCGCGAAGTAAAATCCCTTCTTTAAAAAAAATAATAACTCAAGAATTTCGCGGTGGAAATTATAAAAATAAAAAAAAAACAGCCGTTCATCTCTGATCAAACTTGGCAAAACACACGTCCCTCTGTAATCTGAAACATAAACTCAACACCTCTGTAATGCGGATGACCTTGAAGCTTTGGAAACCCGTCAATATTTACTTTTTTCCTTGATTGTTGACACCTTAACTGACTGAAACGTCAAAGGGGGTACGTCATTGAAACTTTTAACAAAAGGGAAGTTGTTGTAAAAGATAAGTTACCACGCCGTTTAAAACAATGAAAAGCAGCCAGACTTAAAAGTTTGCCTTGCGCCTCCCAGCCGTTTGTGAAAAAACACGAAAAAAATTACATTTATTGCAGGAAATATATTTATATTTTTATATTGAATATATTTGGGAACGGAGCAACAACTCCTCAAGGACTTTGGCTCTTCTTCCATCGACAGATTATTAAACTTTATCTTTTTGAAAAAAGATAAAGTTTTCAAATGGAAATGAATATTTTTGCTGCCAGTCACTGTCTCCATATTTGCTTTTTCCGCTTTTTTCTTGCGTTCGTTATATTAGGTACAGACCCCAAAATCTTGTATTTTTAAAATGTGCAGCTCTTTCCTTCTCTTTTGATTGTTAGTTTTTTTGTAGAAAGAATAAAGACGTTGACATTTTTTTTCGTTTTATAACATCCTAAGCGCCTCTCGAGGATATACCAAGCAACTCCAACTTCACGTTCGTGATGAAAACCATAAAGCGTCATTGAATAAGAGTCACAGAGCTTAGAGGTAATGAGACGATTTAGACTCAAAATCTTACCGACAAAAAAATTAAACTTGACATCACTTGACAGTTAAAGAAAAAGAAATAATAGCAAAGTTCGTGAGTAAGATAAATTTTTAACAT